CTCAGCAATTTCTTGTCATGTCGCTTATTTATCAGATTCCGGACCTCTGCGACTTCTGGTCGGTCATGCTCTGGAGTTTATTTTGAAAATCATCCAAAGTAAGAACCCTGCCTAGGTCCTTTCTTAATCTTGACTTGAGATCTATGAACTTAAATATCTTACGCCTCTCAGTCTCATAACTTTCCTTTAATTTCTTGATGGAGGCGTTATAAAGTATATCATTAACTGTGTCCGAATTACATTTCCTCATTAGATTACAGAATCGGACAGCAATACCATAATGTTTGCAACAATCCGAAAAAGGCCAAATAGCAGGATTGGCTTACAATTGTCTTCTTTGTCCGGTTGTAATCTTTTCATAGTTGGCTGGGCTAATCGAGGCAACGACATGTGGGGCAAGTTGGTCGATACGAATACTCACATGCCGACAAGCCCTTTACCCTCTCGCAGCATGCATGTGTTGCCCATTGACTACTTTGAAGTTCTGATTTGACCGGTATCGTTGCTTTTTCACAATCGTTCAGCGGCTCTATGACTACCTCGGCCAGGAGGGCGGGCTCACCGCCGCCACCGTCGCCAACGTGGTCGCCAACATGGGGTCCGGCGTGAAGCCGGCTCTTACGCTGTCCAACACAATGGCGGGCAGTTGTCACAACGGCACTGCCGCACTACTCAGTCGCCTGGGCGACTCTGAAAAGCCGGGCCAGCCGACTGGGTTTGTGGGTTCGCCCGGACGGTCGTGTTTCCAACCGGTCGGGCTGGGCGGGGTCAGTCAAACATCGGAGGCTTCTGCTGCCGTGATGACGGTCTTCCAGAAAGCGCTCACCGCACCACATGCACAGCCCGGACGCTATCATACTGAGGTGAGTGAAAGCGTCATAGATCTCGCATCAATATTCTCCATTTGGCACTTGGTGATGATACCTTTCGTTGGCGCCAAACTTGGGCTGAGTTCTGCCCTCTCAGCTGGACACGATTTTCAACTTGGCTTTAACTACCATTCATCTTTTAAGATATGTAGAACAATTGAGTTTCGAAGAATTCCTCAGTGATATATCGTGGCATGACTTTCCATTTCTAAGAAAAAGTTTGTTTGAAGGAATTCGTGACCGAAAGATTATTGCCGTGTTAAGAAGACCTGTATTATGCGAAAAAGTCCTCGGCTTAACGTCCTGCGACCCCGATCAACCTGTTCTAAGCTTTCATGAGTACTGCTGTGACAGACATAATCAGAGCAATATTCTATACTTTACGAAATAGAGCAAAAATATGCTAGACTAAATGAAAATGTTACTAGGATTGCTGCTGACCATCTTTTTACTTGGTTTAGTATACATTTGCTATGTCAGGGCGGTACAGAAGAAGGCTTAGCATAAGTTCATCAGGATTACAGAACGATGAGCCGATGACATTTTTACACAATACAATACTCTTCCCTTCGGTTTCCGGTGAGGTCACATTGCGAATTCCTTCCAACCAATTTTCCCTTAGAAATGGAAAGTCATATCACGATCATATTTACTTTGTTTTGTTAAGAACTTGCTAGGGTTGACCACCGGGTATCTAATCGGAGTCTGAAAAACAGGCTTTGAGAGAGATGTTGGCAAAAATCTACTTTTTCTTCACTCTCCACCTCGTCAGAAAATGAGGATGTCGCAAGTCTGCCTCCAATAACTTTTGAACGCACTCCCGTTTCGAGTAAAAGTGTGTGTGGATTTTATCAAAAGACTACGGCGGATTCTACTTGATCAGCTGTCACTTGGATGTATTGGCGCCTTCTTGTAGACGCTGTATCCGCGGCAATCTACAAATTCGCCTTCGATGTAAACATTCCAAGATTTCCTTCATCATATTAAGGAAATCGTCAGATCAGGCTACCATTTTTACAACCATATCCCCTTAATGTGGTATGTATTCCTTAAAACTATGCTTTTTTAAAAATAATTTGGCTGGCCCGAATTATAATTAATTCGAAAATCATATGCCTCCGTATTTTTGTGTGAATATGTGCCTTCATGTGATATCTTGACTATGGCTGTAAGAATGATAATCTGGTCTGATGATGTCCGCCTGCTTAACATGTTTTTTACCAGAGTGATAGAGATTTCCAATCGGAATGTTACTCAAAACTACTTTTCTTCGCATATAATTTCAGTAAGTTTAATCTCACTGGCAAGAAAAATGAAGCCTATTTGCGATTTAAAAAATTTTTATTATATTCTTCGTTACCTACAGTTGCAATTTTCCCATCTGCAGACGATGGCTAACCGAGGTCTTACTTATATCTTTCACTCCTCTTGAACCTTTTTTATCTTAACCTCAATAACCCTTCGATTGGTCCCTTTTCTGCATGGGTCCTACATTAAAACCTCATATATCTTGTCTGAGGGGAATGTTTATTCTCACAAGCCGATATTTGCTTGTCTAACAGCTGCTTAAACAGTTTTGTTGAAATCTCCTGATTGATACACTTTTTACTATCATTCACAGCCTGCGGTCTCATCTCCTCTGCTTTTACCTCCGTCCACGGCCGAATCGTTCATCAACCGCCTTCCTCTCTCGAATTGTCGATTGCCCGGCGATCTGCTAGCATGTAGTAGACGCAGCTTGCTGAACTCAAATCCTTGCCAGATGGGGAATTTGCATCTAGGCCAAGAGGGAATCGAGCCCAATGGCAACATGTCCATCCAAAGTGGACTGAAATTCGAGCTTGACCCTTCCGCAGACACAATATCGCCCAGCGTCGAAGAGTCAGATCCTCCGATCCTTTTATCTGTTGCAGGTCTGTACGGCCGGTCATTTCAGCATGCCTATTATGCTGGCTTTCCGCGTGCCCCGCAGAACCAGGCTGCTCTCCGAAACTTCGCATCGACTGTCCCTAATGACCCCGATAGTGCAGTACCCAGCAGCGATTCAACTTCAAATGGCGAGAAAGATGCACACCAAGTTTACTGAGTTGCGACGTAAATAATTAAATTGAAGCTACTATGCAATTATAAGTAGTAATGATTATTTTCAGAAAACCCATATACTGACAAACCCTTATTCTTTTATAGTAGATAAATTTTCTTCTAAATTCAATTAAAGAAAATCCATTCTATATACGTATCAACAAATATACGAATCTCTATTTCTCTCCCTCTCTCTCTCTAAATAAATATATATATATATATAGAGATACGTATATAGAATGGATTTTCTTTTAGTGAACTTACAAGAAAATATATCTGCTATAAAAGAATAA